ATTAATTTAGCAGTCTCAAAAGTCTAATTGGACTCCCTAGCTGACCAGTAGTAGGCTGCAAGCTTTGACTTAGCAACAAGTGGAAAGCGAAACTCCATGTTCATCAGACAATATCATCAGCATTTTAAACACAGCAGTACTAACTCATGGTGTGGGAGTGAATAAAATTGGTGTCAGATGATGATGGAACATCTACTTCTGCTTGATTAATGAGTTGCATTTCTGTATTGCTCTAGAGCTCTGCAGGTGTCCAGCTCTCCTCTGAGCACAATCAACAAATCCAGAAGTGACCTCACCACCAGCATCCAAGACATTTGTCTTCTCCTGACCTGCCAGCTGCTCCAATGGAGGTGACCCCACAAGTCCACCACATGCCTGCTGGCCTATGAGAAAAGACAGAAGCCTCATCAAAATTACCTCCCCAACCTGACCAACTTCTGGTCAGATACTGTACCATGAGAGACCTCACAATAATGCCAAGGCCTTGCTGCCTTCTGCTGGCCTATCAGCTACTCAGAAAGACGCACAGTGTCTTTGACTGCACAGTCACTCTCACAGCTATGTCTCTGTCACTGGCCTATATGCCTCTGAGACAGAAATTTACTCATCCCCACCAAGGCTGAGTCAGCTCCTGAATGGCCTCCCTGATTCACCTTGTGGCTTCACAATGCTCACAGTGAGCAAAACACCCATTATGTACCAGTTCTAACACCAAAAAATATGAACTTTAACACTCAGCTGCAGACTTAGGTGGAATAATGTTAGCTTTTAACCAGTGATGTAAAGTCCCAGGAGGCTGAGAGAAATGAGGGAGTTGGGGAGATGGGGAGGAAGAGTATCCATACAGTCACTGCTGACCTCTGGGACACTGCTTTTCCTACATGTCCACAGTTCATTAGGAGACACTCTAGGCTGATATCAATTGGAAAATACTGCTGCCATTTATTCAATCGCATATTATTATTATTATTAAAATTATTATTATTATTAAAAAATAATAATAAAGCTATAAAAGCAGAAATGCTTGTATATTATTGATGTCTCCATCTTTTCACCACACTCTTGAAATCTAATTAGCTGTAAAAGACTTGAAGAAAATTGCATGGTTTGTCAGGGCTTTTTGCTTGTTAATGAGCCCCATGGTGTGCTTGAAGCTGAGTCCATGAATCACACCTACTGAAAGCTGTCAAAGTCAGAAGCAAACCCTAAAGTTTCTTAGAGCATTAATGGGTCCCATTGAGGGCCATTGCCAGCAAAGACTTCCCGGGAGATGATTAGAGCAAAATGCTGTAATCGTTGATTACAGACAGGCAGAGGAAATACTCAGGTGACTCTAATGTCTCATAAAGCCTTCATCTGTTTTCTCAAGCAAAAATTGCAAGCACAGTGAACCCCTTTCCTTCATGCATTGCCCAAGGTTCTTCCTTGGGGCAGCATGTGGCTGAGGGTAAGAAGGCTCAGTGTAGGACCAACACACAACACCCTCAGGGTCACCTGAAGGGTACAGAGTGCATTGAGGCTCCAGTGTCTCCTGGTAGGCGTTGGTGGCAGAAATAACAGCCATAGCCAAGAGGACAGAGAACTTGGTTCTTTTGTGGCCCTTCATTCTTGCCAGCACCCTTGGCCATCTGCACCACAGGTCATCCTATGCTGTCCCTACACATCTGCAGGTGCACATCTGCACCTGTGTCCCTGAAGCCTATAAACACCCAACCTGCTTCCCATCCTTCTCACCCTGGCATCTCCCTCCCTTCACTGTTGTCTTTCCATCCACACTGTCTCTTTCTTGAAACACAAAGCCATAAGATTTTCACTGATTCCCTCTTGGTGACTTGTTGCACCACAGCACTACCCTTCAAGGGATATTTCTTCATGCTAATGCCAGTCTGAACTTCCTAGCCTACAGTTTGGTGTTGTTTCCTCTTTCCATGCTGCTTCCTACTACAAAGGAAAGCTCCTGGCAGTCCAACAATGGCACACAGCAGTGCTGAGTCAAGGATGATAAAATAACTCTCTTTGTCTGGATGGCTGTACTCCTACTGATGAAACCTTATGGGCATCAGGGCTTATTCACAGTGAGTGTGCACCACTGCCTTGCACAGTGTCCCTCACAACATCTAGGCCCTTCTCCTCAGGCCACTCCTGAGCTAGTCAGGTGCCAACATGTCCTGATATATGGGGGGTATTCTTCCCCATGTGCAGGACTTACTTATCCTGTCTCCTTAACTAACTCCATGAGGATTCCATTGGCTGAATGCCCAAATATCTCAATGTCCCCTGTACTGAAGCTCATTGTGTCAGCTATTAATGTGTGCGTAACGTCAGGGGCGGGAATCTATTGTCTGGGAAGAGGTGGACAATCTGAGATGCTCTGGAGTGTTTGTGCACCAAACCCTCCGAAAGGGCCTGATTTTCCTGTTGGTCTCATCTTGAATATACTAGAAATGTGGTTGTTCTATCCTATATATGTGTTGTCACATCCTATATATGTGACATGGCCCTTGCATTCCTATTATTACTGCATTAAGTCTGCTCTGAATTACAGAAGCTCTTATGTAAGCCTGGATTTGTATAGGCCTGAGCTTCTTTTTGAGTGAAGTTCTAGAGAATGCAGGCATCAAGGGTCACTGCATGTTGTAAAGGAGATTCTCCATCTAGCCCTTACATAATAGTCTAGAAAGCTGTAAGTCTCACAGTTGCTGCATCAGAGCAAGTAGACATTTCTACACATTGGACACCTGCCCCTTCAAAAGTCAAAATGTGTGTGTATGTCTGTACGGCTGAATTCCTCCCTTCATCTCCACCGGCTGCAGTGGGAGCTTAGACAAGGGCTCCCATGCAGACAACCACTTTGTGTGCCCCATAACTTGGGCAAGGAAACCTCCTGAGTTTGTGGAACACACAGGAAGGAACTGAATCCTACTCCATCCCACAAGTTTCTTATTGGGCAATATATTTATATATTGGGTAATACTATTGTGGAGCTGAGCCTGGCCCCCTGGGACCTGTGGGAGCCCATGGCAACCTGGCAGGCGCTGCAGACAGACATCTCTGTCCAGGAGCAGCTCCTCTTAAAGGAGCAACAGGTCTCAGCGCACTGCCTGCAGGCACCAGTATAGGATGAGCAACTCAGAAGTTAAAGACGGGTGGGAAGGGGAGGATGGCTGAAAGCTCACTGCAGGGAGAAATCTTCACAGTCCTTCACACAGTAAGTATCGAGCTGCAGGACAATGCTGCTGTGGTTACTGGAGCTTCTCCTGCTTGGAGCAGGTGGTGCTTTAGAGCAGGGATTCCCAGCCATGCTGTCACATGGACAGGGCATTGTGCCTGCCTTCTCTCCAGGACAGTGCAGGGACGTGAAGCCAGGTTCTGCACCTAGGTCTGCATAGGCTGTAATTCAGAGCATTGTCCCTGTACCCCAGGGTGCTGTGAACCTGGAGCTGTGATGCTGCTGCCTGCAAGAGTCGGCACTCAGCCTGCCTGGGGACATCCATACAGTCCTGCAGGGAGAAGCCCTAGTGGAAGAAGTGACCCTCATCAGGGCAGGCTCATTCTCCTCTTGAGAGGGTCAGGGCTGCTCTCTGCTCTATCTCCTCCACAGAATATTTTTTGAAGAGGGTTTTTCCAGAACAATGTCAAGGAAGCTGTTGCCTTTAAGATAAGGAGCTTTCCCAAGCCTATGTTTCAGGTTTCCTACTGTTTGTACTTGGAGGGAGTGGAAAAGGAACTGTCAGGTTTGACAAAAAAAAAAAAAAAAAAAAAAAAAAAAAAAAAGAAGGACTGAGACTCCAAGACTCCAAGATTGTTACACTGAGAGATCAAGAGGTCTGTGAGAAACCTCAGAAAAACTTCTCTCCACTTTGATGGGTCCTACAAGCACTGACAGGGAAAGACATGGGATAAAGAAGCAGCTCCCCAGAGGAAAGACTCCAAGCAGCGAAGATACAATCAGTGAATGGGAGGAAACTAGAAACAAATGCTGTGGGAGGGGGGAATTGTGAGAATTCCGCTATCCCTCTCAATGAAGATATCCATCTCTAAGCAAGCTTCCTGGGTCTCTTCTCTCACCCAGCAGAGCCTCTGCCCTCCAGGCCATGGAGTCCAAGTTATGAGCCCCTTCCCCAGCAGGCAGGGCTCCCGCAGACCACAGAGGCCTCTCTCCTGCAAGGTGCCCACTTCCCACTGCATGACAAAGGACCATCCTGAGATGGGGCTGTGTGGGAGCTGATATGCACAGCTGGAGGATGTGGATGTCTTCCTAAGTGCCCACGTGTGCCTCCCTCTTTGCCTCCCCTTTGGTAGAAGAGGCGCAGTATTGTTCCTCATGTCTTCACCTCTCTGTACTGGTCTTGTTCTTGCTCTTGTGCTCTCTGGGCTTAGGGAGCGGGATTCAGCTGCAGTTAAGGCAGTAACTTCTTACTCCCATGACACTGTCTGAAGAAACAGTGAAGACAGTAAATGGCAAAGTGATGTGAGAGCAGGGTTCATCTCACTGGGACAGAGATGCAGAGAAAGGGTGAGGTCAACGCTGCCTGCACTGCACCGTTTCTCTGCCTTGGCAGCCAGGGAGCTGCTGTGACTGATTCCAATACAAACATCTCTGTTAAGGATAGCAAGTCTCGGGGAAGAGGCCTCACAAGCATCTTCCTTTCAGGCACAGCTGCCATGCATGCTCTATTTGTCTCTTGCATGGTAAAAAGAATATTACTACTGGGGCAGCAGACCAAATCCCCTTCACTCAGCTCAGGGCGCCCATCCCCAGGTATCCCCACCGACACACATGGCAGTTTGACATCTCCATTTATGCACCCTGGGAGGGTAGTACTCATTCCTCTGAAGTCCATGCACAGAGGCCCCTGCACACAGTACAAACCAGTGGTCAGAAAAGGGAGCTGAATGAAGGTAAAGGAGGGGGGGAATGTGGGAGATAATGTGAGGAGTCAAAAGGGATTTGCTGAGAAGTCTGTCATAATTTCTCAATGCTTTTTCCTCCAGAACAAATGTCTAACAGCAGCTTCCCAGATGAGTTCCTCCTCCTGGCATTCACAGACACAAGGGAGCTGCAGCTCTTGCACTTCACACTCTTCCTGGGCATCTACTTGGCTGCCCTCCTGGTCAATGGCCTCATCATCACAGCTGTAGCCTATGACCATCACCTCCACACTCCCATGTATTTCTTCCTCTTCAACCTTTCCTTTCTTGACCTTGGCTCCATTTCCACCACTGTTCCCAAATCCATGGCCAATTCCCTCTGGAACACTCAGGTCATTTCATACTCGGGGTGTGTTGCCCAAACATTTTTGTTTACTTTTTTTGTTTCAGCTGAATATTCCCTTCTCACTGTCATGGCCTACGACCGCTTTGTTGCCATCTGCAAACCCCTGCACTACGAGACCCTCATGGACAGCAGAGCTTGTGTCAAAATGACAGCAGCGGCCTGGGGCACTAGTGTTCTCAGTGGGGTCTTGAACACTGCTAATGTATTTTCAATAACATTCTGCCAAGGCAATACTCTGGACCAGTTCTTCTGTGAACTTCCCCAAATTCTCAAGCTCTCCTGCTCAGACTCCTACATCAGAGAAGTTGGGATTCTTGTGGTTAGTATTTCTTTAGCTTTTGGGTGCTTCATTTTCATTGTGCTGTCCTACGTGCAAATCTTCACTGCTGTGTTGAGAATGCCCTCTAAGCAGGGCCGACACAAAGCCTTTTCCATGTGCCTCCCTCACTTGATTGTGGTCTCCCTGTTTGTCAGTACTGGTGTGTTTGCCTACCTGAAGCCCCCCTCCATCGCCTTGCCCACTCTGGATCTGGGCCTGGCCATTCTGTACTCAGTAGTGCCTTCAACCCTGAATCCTCTCATCTACAGCATGAGGAACAAGGAACTCAGAGACACGCTAAAGAAACTGATCCAGTTAGTACTAGTTCAGCAGCAATGATGTGCCCATCCTTCTTTACAAGTGATTTGTAATATAATTCTGGCTACTCTTGTGCTATGGGCACATTCTCAGTGATAGTACTTGAAGAGAGCTTGAATTTATCGCACTGCTCCAGAAGTACAAATCGAGTCTGTCTGACCCAGAGGCCTGCAATAAATGTGTCTGTCTATCATCATGTCAGAAATGGCCTTTGTGTAATAAGGGGATTTTCTGAGTACAGTGCTTGAAGGATTGTTTCTTCTTCTAGTGATGGAACCAAGAATGCCTTCCAGGATGCTGACCCTGACAGAGCCTGTTACTTTTCCGGGGCTCTCCATGAGCTCAAGTCAATGAGCTCATGGGGTGATGTGTTAGCCAATGAGGGCTGGATTAGGTCTCGCTTGTGGGTCCCCAGTGTTTCTGGAAGTGGTGACAGGTCAAGTGGTATCTGCCTGGCACTGTCCCCCATATGACAGGGTTGGTGATAGATGCCCACAGTGGGGACCCTGTGGGCACAGGGGAGGGAGCCTGGAGAGTGTTTTATGTTACCTTCAATGAAGAACCATGGGCTGGATCTAGGGACACACCTGAACACCATTTGAAATGCTCTGTGAATGCTCAGAGCTCCATCTATGGCCACACACTCCTTGGAGCGGGGCTGTCAGGTGCAATGATGCCCCTCCAGCTGGGTGTTCTTCCCATGCAACTCACCATGGTCAGTGCAGAGTCACCTTATGGCCTCAGTGCATCACGACCCACTCACTCTGCAGAGCACTACCAGCTCAGGGCTGTGCAGGGAGCACATGGGAGGGTTCAGGAATAGCCAAGGAGACCAACACTGATGCGCCAACCTGGACAGCAAAGAGTAAAGGAGTAATTGTGAGACTGAAAACTTACACCTTGAATGTTGATTGGGATGCCACTTTTGCCTCAGTACACAGAAGACCAGCAGCAGGCACAAGGCTTGCATGTTGCTCATGAGGTCACTGCTGACTTAGTCCCTGATAGGCCAGTAGCAGGGACCAACCTTGGATGAAGACTGTGAGATCACTGCTACCTCAGCACCTGATCTGCCAAAAGCAGGGATGTGCTATTAATGCTGATCATGAGGTGACATCCTTCTCTGTAGACTTGATCCCATCAACAGGCACTTGGTTGCTGAGGGTTCTTGCAAAGTCACCCCTGGATTCTGTGTAGATCGTGAGGTCACTTCTGCCCAAGTATTTGTTAGACCAACATCAGCAAAGTGCCTGTGGGGTC